CGGGCCCCTCTTCCAGCTTGGCCAGGATGCCTGGGAACTTGGCGTTGTCCTGCCTGCAAAGACAGGGCATTGGGAGGGTCCCAGGAGGTGCAAAGAGAGCCGGGTGCTCCCAGCGGGGGGAAATGAAGGGAAGCTCTGCACGGGCAACCCGACGAGGAGCTGAGACAGGACCGTGGAGATGGGGAGGGGGCGGGTGAGCCCCCCGAGGACCCCGTGCCCCCACCCGTGGCGAGCGGGGCACGCACAGCAGGCGCTGGTAGGTCTGCTCCTGGTAGGCCTGGTTGGTGACGTAGGGCAGGTAGACGCGGCGGAAAGCGGGGCAGTGGCGCAGCACGATGTCGCACACGTCGAAGAGCAGGATGTCCTCCTCCAGCCGCTCCTCCAGCTCCAGCAGGAACCTGCCGGGGTCACGGCACCGCGCGGGGGCTCAGGGGAGCGGGCACGGCCCCCTGCCCTACTCCTGTGCCCCTTGGGGGGGGCAGGGTCTCTACGGGGCTCGAGCGGGCAACCTCTGAGCTGACCTTTCGCTGACGTCCTTCACCTCGGGGAGCTTGGAGAAGAGCCACTGCTTCTCCTGGGCTCCCAGGCACTCGTTCAGCTCCCGGGAGTTCATGAAGTGGTCCACCGCGATGGACAGGCTGTGGATGTACGAGGCCTCCGAGGTGATCAGCTCAAACTTGGCCTGCAGGTGCGGGGGGAGAGGGGAGGCGGGGGGCAGAGGCCCTGAGTTGGGGACGGGCATCAGGGTGGGGATGGCCGCGTGCCGCCGGCATCGCCCCCCGCTACGCCTGGGAACAGACACTGGCAATAGATGCCAGGGCACCTAGCAGCTGCCTCGTGCCAGCCCCCATCCCGCCGCGGGGAGGGCGATGCCCGGTCCGTGCCAGCACCCAGACCGGTGCCAGCAGGCTGAGCGCCCACCTCCTGCAGCTTGCACTCCTGGAGGCTGATGGTGCCGAGGACCCCGCTGCTCCGCACGTCGGGGATGTCCTGCCACAGCGAGAAGGTGGAGCCGCGGGACGCGCGCTGCGAGCGGAAGGAGCTGCTGGGAGACAGGTTGGTCTTGGGCGGCGCCAGCGCCTCGTCCTCCTCCTCCGCCAGCGCGTCCTCCCGCTTCTGCCGCTGGATCTCCCGGTCGATGGCCACGGCGCTGTACTCCTGGTACAGGATGGCTGCAGGGTGGCGGGGTGGGATTCAGGCCTCCTGCGCCGGGCACCGGCACTACGCCGCTACGGCAGAAGGGTGCCCTCCGCCCCAGCACCCAGGGTAGGAGGCTCGTGCCTGCCCGGGCTACGGGGGCATGGGGAGATGGGTGCACAGCCCGTGTCTGGGGGCAGGAGGGCCGTGGGCTGTGCCCTCCAGCACGGCGTGGCGGGGCGCTGGCTCTCCTCTCTAGGCTCCCATGCCCTGCCCTTGCCCAGGCCGCAGGGGCCAAGGACTGGGGTGGGACTGCGGCTGCTTACAGTTCAGGAGGAACCGGGACTGCCGCCTCTCGTGCTTCAGCGCGGCCCCCCCGGGGGTCTCCTGCTCCGCCTTGGTCCTAGAGAGAAGGGGGAAGGCCCCGGCCCGGCATGAGGGCTTAGACCTGCCCCTGCCCCGGTGACCCCACACCCAGGTGTCGTCGCCCTGCATCCCGCATCCAGAGAAGAGCCACCGGCCTGTACCTGGGCCCACCGTTGCTGGCTGGGGGCGGGTGCTCGTCGGCGCTGCAGCTCCGCTCCCTTCCTCCCAGTTTCCCTGCAATGAGGGGGAGCAGGTTTGCACGGTCCCTGAGCCAGTGTCTTCCTCCCCGTCTCGGTGCACGAGGGAAAAGCCCATAATGCACCTGTGCAGAGATGGGCACCACTCGCACCCACAACCCCTCGCCTGCCTTGTGTCGGAGCGCCTTCCTCGCCGAGCCGGGGGGCCCTGCTGACTACGGGGAAGGGGAGAAGCGACCCGCTGTGTGGCAGAGTGGGCTCCCCACCAAAGACAGGCGGCAGGGCCACGGGCATGTGGGCTAGGTGTGAAGACCACATTCACCCGACAGCAACAGGAGCAGGACACAGGGCCCAAGCAAGGAAGGACACTAACTCACAGGCAATCAACAGCTCCGAGCCAACCACGCCAGTGTGACCAGTGCGAGAACCCCAGTACCTTCCTGGCTTGCCCCAGCTCCTTTCTCCTTGGCAGCGCTGCGGGCGGACAGGGACTTGCCCAGCTTGAGGGCGAAGGTGCCGCGGCGCTGAGACAGCTGCAGCCGGTTCACGAGCTCCGAGGCGGAGAAGCGTCGCCTCTCCTGATCCGCCGAGGCCTTGGCACTCCGGCCGCCCGCATGCGGGGGCAGCGCCAGGTCCAGCGTCTCGGGCACCTCGCGGGGGTACCCGTCTGGAGCCGGCCTCAGCGCCCGCAGCGCCATCTCCCCCAGCGTGAGCTCCCCCACGGGCCGCGTGGCCTCGGGACACGGGAATCGCCTGTCCCCCTCCAGGCTGGGACTGCTGTCGCTGGGGCTGTCCGGGGAGTAGACCCGGATCTTCCTCCCTGCAAGGAAGGGGGAGACGGTCAGCTGCACTGGAGGGAAGCGAGGGGCAGGGAGAGCACCCGTGGGATGCGGCCTCAGCCGCAGGAGGCTGCTTCCCACTCCTGGATGCACGCATGCAACACACTCAAGCTGGGGGAGGGAGGTGCGACTCAGGCAGGGTGAGTGTCGCACGCTCCATGCTCTTGTGAGGTAGGCCTGCAGGTTACAGATGGGGAAACTGAGGCACAGATGCAGCCAATGGCCTCCAGATTCGCCACTGCAAAGCTTTCTTCCCTCCCGTGCCTCACCGCACCGCTCTTTGCACATGCGTGTTCTAGCAAGAGGTGCATCCCAGAGCTAAAAACCCTGGAAGGCTAAGTGATGTGCCCAAGGTTGCAGGGGGGGGGGGG